GAGGGGGAGATGGTCACTAGGTGTTTATAATTTTCGAGGAGGATCATATGTACGAAAACGCACATCCATAAAGTTAGAAAGGTTAATCATTCTCATTTAGTAGGCCTACATCGACTTTCATATCTAAATAACAAAAAATAGTTATCCCTCTCAAACCGTTTTCTTTGATAATTGTTAATATCAATAGATTGCAAAGGAGAACCAGTGTAGAGTTGGTGATAAGCCATTTGCACCCATTATCTTTACTAAGAATTGCATAAAATCATGCAGACGCCTAGGTGTGGTGGGATATTTGCGAATTTATGGTACCTAAGACCTACGGTAACGTCTAAACTTATTTTTTATAGGGAACGCACGAAACAAATGCGATAGCTTTTTTAACTCTAGACGAAGAGTGCGCATACAAACGAGCTCAAAATTCCATACAGTTTTTATTTCAGAGCGGGTATTACTGAGTACTATCATCTTCAATATGAAATAATCTGCCTCGCTTATACATCTGAAATTCAAAAATCCGACATTTAGGTAACATTCGCATTGAATTGTTTTTTTTACAACGGTAACTACCAATTTCAAATCAAATCAAATTTACTCATGCTGTGATGTAGCGACCGTTGAGTAAAATGGAACAGAAATATTTCAATCCTTATAAGGCTCTTTTCAAACATTAGTGCTTCGTATGTGATATACGTACAGCTTACCTCGTAAACTAAAATATATTACCAGGGAGTCTCGATCGAAGCATATTTCGTGTGTAAAAGGACACAAAACCTACATTTTTTAAAAGATATATTTCACAAAATATTTCGTCATAAATCACGGTGATATAATTTTTTCTTGATATTGGTATAAAAGTGTTCCTTGAACATTCACGAACTCATATCTATGCGCAATGTCATAATCAAATGCCGTATGCACGATTGCAGCAAGCGGAAGTCCACATAGGCGTACTTGGGCGCTCATTAGCGACGTACCTCCCCAGAATTGACCCCAGGTGCTGAGGGAGTCTCGCGTCGGCTGCAAGACAAGCCATAGGAGGGCCTTAATATTCGTTTGGTAGTTTCCTAATCAATGTACCTATACTATACGCTAGCTAACTCAATTTGACCCCCTGCCCCCCCCCCCCCCTCATCCGGGACGGTCCCCATAAGGCCAACAGAGCCATCATTCCTTCCACAACGGTGCCATCACATCGGAAACTGCCTCACGATAAGCGTGAACAAACACCCGCATCCGCAGGTGGGAAGTAGAACTGGCGGTCAAGCATGGAGTGCTACTCAACCTCGACTCTGAATTCGATGCCCGTTTGATCGCGGGCGTGGCCAGGGAAGTGGGCGTAAGGGCGAGGTGTCTCGTGCGCCTGAATCCAGCCCTGAATGCGGACACCCACCCGTATCTGGCGACCGCTCTCGCCGACTCCAAGTTCGGGGTGGAATTTCACCAGCTGGAAAAGGTGAGTTCTGGGGTGCTGGGTAGGGGGGAGGCGAGAGCTAAGGCCAGAGAGGAAAAAGGAGACAAGGCTAAACGAGATTAATGGAAATACATGAATAAATCGGAGGAGCCCAGAAGGTGTGGATAAATTTAAATTTATAAAAGTTATTTATGTATACATATGGCACACACATCTATATGTATATGTAATATATCATATATATATGTTATATATATATATATATATATATATATATATATATATATATATATATATATATCGTCCTGGATGATACGGTGTGCGCCAAGATCGAGGACAGGTACGGCATCCTCCTGTTCATACACACACACACACGTATATATGTATGTATGTATGTATATACGTGTGTGTATATATATTGTACCTATAACCTAAGGATCAGAGCATCCTAATCGGGTTTGATTTACATGGTATTACAAGAATTGTCACGTAAAAGCGCGCGGCTGAACGAAGCGAATCGGCAGCTTCTCATAATTTCCTTCCCCGCGGCAGGTGTTGCAGGCCGTGCGCGCGGGTGAGAGCGGGAACGAGGAGCACGTGGCCGTCGAGGGAGTGCACATCCACGTCGGATCCGCTGTCTCGCGCACGCGGGTGTACGCAGACATGACGAGGGCCGCCGCACGCACGCTGCGTGAGGTTGGTATCCCCTCCCGGTTTCCCTCGCCCTTGCTTCTTCCCACACTGCTCTTCATCTTCTCGTCATCTTTAATGATACATCATCATTATCGCAGAAGTACCGTTCTTATCAGTATTATTGTTAATGTTATTATTGAGATTGTCGTTGTTTATGTTATTTGTATTATCATCAGTAGTTTTGTTCGTATTATTTTGTTAATGCTAGCACTGTTATCGTGATTGCCTGTGATGTTACTGACATCAGTATAGCCACATATATAATAAAAGAACCACAAACAACCATGTCACACGACCACAACTAACATTCTCATTGCCAGGTGTCAAGTGAATCGCCATTTCCTAAATACCAAAAATTATAAATTAGAAACCAAGAAAAACAAGTTGTTATTGACTCGTGTCTACGACATTCATAGACACGTCTTGTCGGCATCGCCTCTCGTGCGCCCTTTCCGAACAAGTGCTGCTTTGGGTAGTTCTACTCATTGTAGATCATGCCGGCGACAAATGGAGCGTAAACGCTTACTGCAAACACCGTTCAGCATATATGGCGAACGAGTGGTGTCCAGTTCAGACTTTAGCAATTAGGATGGAGGACGACACTAGAAATTTATATTAAACTCTTCGCAACTTGTGGATACTGGTAACAATGTTTTATTTGGGGTTGGCAGAAAATCCGATCTCTACAAGATTATATAAAACCAGGTTTACGTGACAATCTTTTCATATCTGCAATTAGATATACAGTAAATTTTGGTTTTCTCAGTGTCTTATACATGCAGAGAAAAACTCTGTAAGCCTTAACTGTCGCGGCATAAAAATGGCGTCAATTTAAAAACCGTTTCGATGACGGCTGCGGTTCCCGTCGCAGATCCGAGAGCGCGGATGGCCGAGGGCGTCCACCATCAACCTGGGAGGTGGACTCAATATTCGGCTGTCAGGAGTCCCGAGGAAGGACGGAGAGGACCAGGAGCGCCCTGCAACCCCAGAGAACCTCGTGGACGCAATCCTTCCCATCCTCCCTCAGGACACCACGCTCCTGCTGGAGCCCGGCAGATCTCTCGTGGCAACGGCTGGTGAGGTAGCAGTAGACGTTATAGTGGCAGACTGCAGTGTTTGTTTCGTTATATTGGTTTCTATTTTTTCTTTCGCCGCAGGATTTAGCACGGCGTGGTGCTGACGGGCAGATGTGCCTTTACAGGTGTACTGATGACTGAAGTGTTAGGGGTGAAGACCAATGGAGACCGCAGGTTCCTCGTGGTGGACTCTGCTATGACCGAGGTCATTCGCCCTGCCCTGTACGGAGCCCATCACCCTGTTACTCACGTGACTGTCCCGTCTAGTCAGGTCAGTATACTGGCAACGCTACCCACGTAAACTGGCTCGTAGGATTATTCACTTTAGCCACGAATAATATGGAAAGGCAATAACCAAATTTCATTGAGAAATAAATCAATCATAAAACGCATGATTTATTGGCCAACTGCCAAGGTCACCTAACCGACCCAACGGGCATATTTACTCAGTAATGACACTGACACTTCACTATTGGAGCCCTTTGAATATTAGCTCAGAATGAATAGATCTTCACGCCCTAGCTTATTTACAAATGGTACAGTTAACAAAAATTATCACATAAGTAATGTTAGGTCAGCAATATGCGAAAATTTATAATCAGGTGTTAGTGGAGAGGGTAATACCCGAGTACTACCCACTGATTAACATGCAGAACAAACAATGCAGGGAATGAACCTTAACGGATTACTGTTTTGACCGGCCTCCTCGTTTCACATGTTATATTACTTCCATAGAATGTGTTCCTTTGTATTTTACATTTTCATTTGTCAGTAGGATTTCAACGGGACTTGTCTGAAAGAAAGTTTTTTAGAAAGCTAGTTTTCTTTTGTCAAAATAGGTCCTTATGCCATCCTTGTCAGTAGTTACAGGGAGTTGGACTGACGCTTTGTCACTGTTAATCCTTGACGTTGGTGTGATTGCATTACTTGGTATGCTTTCGCTTACAATTTGAGTTGATTTTGTTTCTACAGCTTTTAGTGATTTTAGTCGGGAATGTGTTCCTCCCCGTACTCTCTTTCCCCACTGCCTGTTCCCCGACAGGAGAGGGCCGCGATGGATGTAGTCGGGCCAGTGTGCGAAAGCGGAGACTTCCTTGCCCGCCGCTGCATGCTCAGCCCAAACCCTCCTTCCGGGGCCGCCCTCGTGGTTTGGGCGACAGGGGCGTACTGTTCCTCCATGGCTTCCAATTATAACTTGCGCCCGCACGCCGTCGAGGTCATCGTAAGGGCGCCCGACCTCTACACTATTGTGAGGAGGCCAGAAAATTTCGAAGACCTCGTTTCGTGTTACTTGTAGATGCCAAGATAGCGATTATGGATTTGAATGGAAGACGCCACTTGCGGCAGAACGAGGCAACCATTATGGCTTAATAGTCAATACAGAAACGTGCATTTTAACTGTGAGACCGTTAATGTGTCATGGTTATTAATAACACGGAAACACACACACACATGTATAAATACACATATATGTATATGTGTATGTATGTATAATATATATATATATATATATATATATATATATATATATATATATATATGTGTGTGTGTGTGTGTGTGTGTGTGTGTGCGTGTATGTATATTATATATATGTATATGTATGATATATATGTATACATATATATATGATATATATATATATTATATATATATTGAATATGTATATATAAAAATATATATATATATTATATAT